GTATTCTGGTACATAAGAATAGCCAGCATCCTTTTGCTTTCACTTGGGAAGAATGGCAATGCATCTGGACAGTCATGCCCCAGGGTTTCTGAGTCCTTCTTACTTTTCACAAACCTGAAAAGCTGATTTGGATGATAGAAAGTTTTCTGCAGGCTCTACTTTGTTACGGTACATAGATGATTTCATTCTCTGCTCCCCTTCTCAAATCTCTTCACAGGAAACAGCATCCACCTGTTAAAACTTTCGGCCTTGGGGCGCCTGGGTGGCTCAGTCGTTAAGCGTCTGCCTTCGGCTCAGGTCATGATCCTGGGGTCCTGGGATCGAGCCCCGCATCGGGCTCCCTGCTGCGCGGGAAGCCTGCTTCTCCCTCTCCCTCTCCCACTCCGCCTGCTTGTGTTCCCTCTCTTGCTGTGTCTTTCTCTGTCAAAATAAATAAATAAAATCTTTAAAAAAAAAACAAAACAAAACTTTCGGCCTTAAAGGGATATGGTCTCCAGAGAAAAATCCTCAGGTTAGATAGTCATGACATTCCATCTCAAAACAAGGACCGCATTTGGATCCAGATGAAAGCCCCCACAGATCACATGTTGACCCTTGTGGCAATTTACAGGAAATTCCTCTAATGCAGGTTTTTCATGGTTTACTGGTGGTTCTCATTTAACAGATGACATTGGTAAATATCATGTTGGGTGTGCTAGTACAACTCTTATGTGAAGTCAGGACTCACCTTTCTTTTGGCTACTTCAGCCCAACAGACTATGTTAGATGCCCTTATTCCAGCTGGTACTGCAAACACTGCAAACATTTAAGCCCATGGCTGTTGTGTTTTGGGGGTAATTCATGATTCTGGAATATTATGGAAACAATGAATGTCCTTACCTCCAATGAGGCTAAAGTTTAAAATGGCTCCTATGTGCAAAATTTATTAAATGCCATACTTTTGCTAGTGGCTCTGGTTATTTTTAAGGTTCCTGGGCATTCCAGATTCAACTCCCTGGAGGCTGAAGAAAACCACCCCAGTGATATTTCTACCAAAACGAAACAAAACAAAACAAAAAAACGCTCCTCCCAAGGAGACCAATAGCCAAACCTCTGGTCCAAAGGATGTTCTCCCACATGATAATGTGGAAAAATTGACCAGAAATGCCCACCCATTGATCCCAGAGGGGGGAAAATAAGATTGTAAATCTAATATTTGTTGCTTTGTTAGAGAGAACTTGGGGTGCCTGGGTGGCTCAGTCATTAAGCGTCTGCCTTCGGCTCAGGTCATGGTCCCAGGGTCTGCAGGAAGCCTGCTTCTCCCTCTCCCACTCCCCCTGCTTGTTTTCCCTCTCTCGCTGTGTCTCTCTCTGTCAAATTAAAAAAAAAAGAGAGAGAGAGAACTCCAGTTTGGACCAAATAAAAATCCAACCCTACCAGAAATTCTAAAATTCCCACTACTTACCATTGTACAAGCATTTAACCTACTGGCAAAATGATAGCATTCGTGAACAACACTGGTGGAGAAATATTAATAAGGCCACAAAAAGTGCCTACCTTGCTTGTCCTGCCTGTCTGACATACAATGCACAGAATTTGCATTCACACAAATGGAGCTCAGAGTTTCCCCATCCCATGGAGATAAATATGTTTTAGTCACGGTTTGCATGTTTTCTCTTGTGGACAGACCACTGCTTCTTTTGTGGCTAGAACTCTGTTAGAAAAGATTATCCCTACCTGGGAACCCTTCTCAAACTCACAGTGGCCAGGGAACCCGTTTTACTCGTCAGGTGCTTTGACAGGTCTGTGCTGTTCAGATGGTTTTCCAGCATTTCCATGGTGCGTACCATCCTGAATCCTCAGAGCTTCTCGAATGCACAAACAGCACTATTAAACTCAACTGGCACAATTTGTAGAGACCCTCCAAATGCCTTGGTCGAAAGAACTTCAGGTCCACTCCCTTGGGAACTCATACCCTCTTCCCCTTCGAAGTAGTCACAGGACGTCCCAGTGCACTTGGCCCCTCCTCCTCTCACCCACAGTTGATAAGGGGAGATAGAGGTCAATGCTGTAAAGGCCTAATTGCTTCTATTAAAAATAACCATGCTCTGGTAGAGCAATCTTTTCACCATGTGCTCCCAGGAGGCAATGAGGGGACAATGACCTTAAGTAATCATATCTTGCAAACCGGAGATTTCGTTTATGGGAAAAGACACCTCCAGAAAGACTCTCTTCAACCTCACTGGAAAGGCCCTTATCAGGAACTTTGAACCAACCTTGTGCCACCAAACTCCAGGGATGAGACTCTTGGATTCATGTACTCGTCTGAAGAAAGCACCAAACACTGGCCCTGCGTGCCATCTGGTGACCTGAAACTCAAGATTTCCTGGGGGGCACCTGGGGGGCTCAGTCGGTGAAGCGTCTGCCTTTGGCTCAGGTCATGATCGCAGGGTCCTGGGATCGGGGTCCTGGGATCAGGGTTCTGGGATCAAGCCCCATGTTGGGCTCCCTGCTCAGTGGGGAGTCTGCTTGTCCCTCTCCCTCTGCTCCCTGCCCCCCCACTGGTGTGCTTTCTTTCAAATAAATGAAATCTTAAAACAAAAATAAAAAGATTTCCTGGAATGGCAGTGGACGACCTCTGACCAGACACTTTCCCAAGGGTGTCCAGACAGGCCTGTGTACCCTTTCTCACTGCTGCTGCTTCTCTCTCATGGAAAGACAATGTCCTTGTCTGCATTTCCCAAACCCCTGAGAAAGAGAAAACCTTTTTTGATTATGGCCTTTGGGAAACAGCCTCACGATCCTGTAACAAACTAATTTTTTCAGTTGTTTTTTCTGAATGGTTAGAAGTTTCAGAATTCACAAGTCTTCTTTCATCTGAACTAGCATCTGGCTCTGGATTCCTATCCCAATTCATGGCCTCTGAATTTGCACCTTACAGGCTGTCTTATTGGATAACATTTGTTTCCAAACAGTTCTTTTGAGATAACAACACTGTTTTAATACATCTTTGAAATTTTGCTATTTTCCCAAAAAGTTCACCAGCTATTGCTTCATGTTCATACCTGCACTGTATCTCCCCAAATGCACCTGAGTAATTCTTTCCACGTTCTCTTGCTGTATTCACTATTTGCTTTCATTGCTGCTACAAGTGGGGACTTCCAGGAGGCGTGTGTGACTCCTGGTTTGCCTTTGTGGGAGAACCCTTCTCCCGTAAGTCAGAATAAGTGCCGACCTAGAGTCCTAGTTTAGCACCATCACACAGTTTGGAATTGTAGTGTTACTTCTGTTTTGTGTGATTATTTTAAGTTTTGAATTTTGTTGCCTGTCAAACTTTTGTAAAAAATGATGTACTCAATACATGATCTCCAATGCTTATGATCCTGGTAAATATGGACTAGAGATAGGAAGTGCCCTGGAGGTCTCCCTCCTGACCTTCCCTGTTACTCAAATGTGTCCTTAAGTGCTTTCCAACTGCTGTGCACTTTCCCTCCAACGTGGAACATGACAACCAGGAAAGATCCTTCCTGGCACCGAGGGACAAAAGCACTAAATACTGAAAACCTGACTCTTGACCAGGATGCTTTCAAAGAATGATCCTGATCAAAAGAGGGAAATGTGAAAATTAATATAAGGAAACCTCGTGTGGAACGGAGTCAGGAGGCCAGCGCCTAGCACTCGAGGTCAACCGCAAAGCCAACAGGTGGATTTACCACGCCAGCAGGCAACAGCCCAGCCAATGAGAAGCTACTATACTTCCAATTCTCGGTCTACTCCAATGGGCTTTTCGTTTATAACGGCCTCCCCCCGCCCCCAAATCTTCCCCTCCCTGTATAAAAAAAACTGTCCTCCCCTCTGTTCCCAGGACTTCCCTTTGGTTTTCTTGCGGCTGGTTTGTCCTAGGTTGTTATTCCAGTTATTCCATTTTGCTTGCAAAATAACTGACAGTTTTATTTTTAGATTGACAATGTATACACATACATACATATTAGTGACAGCTTTTTTTGAGGTGTAATTCGCATACCATACAATTCACCCATTTAGAGTGTACAGTTCAGATTTTAGTATATTCACAGATGTACACAACCATCACCACAGTCGATTTTAGAATATTTTCACGATCTGGAAAAGAAACCCAGTACCCTTTAGCAATCACCCCCCTTCCGTGCCCCCTTCGGTTTCCCAACCTGTGGTGACCATTAATCTTTCTGTCTCTATGGATTTGCCTCTTCTGGGCATTTCGTGTAAACCGATCATATATATATTTTTTGTGACTGGCTTCTTCCACTGAGCATCATGTTTTCAAAGTTCACCCATGTTATAGCAGGTGTCGGAACTTCATTCTTCTTTTAGGGCCAAATAACTTTCCACTGTATGGATAGACCACATTTTTGCATCCATTCACCAGCAGGGGGACGTTAGGTTGCCTCCCTCTTTGGCTGTTACGAGGAGTGTTGCGATGAAAACTAGGTCCTGCCCTTTGAGGGCTCGTTCTGTTTTCCGTGGGGTGTACATCTAGGAGTGGAAGTGCTGGGTCACATGGTAACTCCACGCTTAACCCTTTGAGGAGCTGCCACTGTTTTTCAAAGTGGCTCAGGGATAAATTGGGGGGGGTCTGATTATATTAACAATCTGAGTTAACCCAAATCCGGGAGTCCACACCGTTGTGCCGGTGAAGACCCCGCGAGAGACCAGCCTGCCCGCCGGCGGACCCTGCAGCCTGAGTCCCGAGCTGCGGGCGGCTGCGGGCGGCTCGCACGTGGGGTAGGGGGTGGGGAGGCGCCCCAGAGGGACACGGGCGCGACAGCGCGGAGGGGCTCGGGTTCGGCCGCCTGAACAGGAAAGCCCGGAGCAGCCCCCGCCCGCGGCCCCGGGGAGAGGCCCCTCCTCCACGCCCTCCGGTTCCGGCTTCCTAGCAACCAGGAGGCATCCTTCCCAGCAAGCACTGCTTCTGGCCCGCGGCATCGGAGACTACGAGGCCCAGCGTGCCCCGCGGCCCAGGAGCGCGGACTACAGGTCCCACAATGCACAGCCCACCCCTTCCCAACCGCCCCCGCCCCTGCTCTCCCTAGACCCCGCCGAGGCCGTGCCGCGACCCCTTCCCGGCGCTCCCCGCGCCGTGCGCCGCGCGCCTCGCGGTGACCCGCAGTGCGTGGGGTCAGGCGCGGGGCGGAGCGGCTGGGCGGGCGCCATGCGGAGGGGCGAGCGCAGAGGCGCCGGGGGGCCGCGGCCGGGGTCCCCTGTGCCCGCGGGCAAGGCTTCGCTGGAGGAGCCGCCGGACGGCGCGGCCCCGGGCCGAGCGGGCGGGCCGGGCGCGGGCCGTCGCAGCACGGAGTCCGAGGTCTACGACGACGGCACCAACACCTTCTTCTGGTGAGGGGCGGGGGGCCCCCGGGGCCGTGAGGGGCGTGGACGCGTGGTGCTGGGTTGGAGGGGCGCCCGCGAGACCCCGGGCCGGCCCCTGCCCAGCGCGGCCGCGGCCGGCCTCCCGCGGTGGTCCGGCCCCGCCTCTCTGGCCCCTGGCCCTGGCTCGGGAGGGCTAGGCTCTGGAAGTCCTGATTCCCTGTCCAACGCTCACCTGTGCCCGCTGTCCTGTTGCCTTTCTCTAGCGCCTGCTGCTTGTGCTTATGAAATGGTTTTCCGCGCCGCCGAGCATCTAGCAGGGACGTTCCGCGGCGCGAGCACCTTCCCCGGCGCCGGGAGCTGGGCGGGTGTTTGTCAAGTACCGCTCCCGTCTCTTTTCGGGTGCTGCTTGCGGAACCAGCCCCTCGAGCCCTGCGCAACGGAGTCCACGCCGAGTCTCGGGTCAGGCTGCCCCCCAGGCTGCCTGAATGGGTGTCGGGGAGGGCGAGGCCCCCAGGAGCAGCTCCTGCCCCCCCAGGGCCTGTGTGGGAAGACTTCGTGCACCTGCTTTATGCTGAGTTTGGCCCTTCTGTGTTTGAGGCCCCAGGCGTGGCTCCGACGCCAGAAAGCTCTGCGACCTTGGGGTAGCCCTTCGCCTTTCCGAGCCTGTCTTCCCTCCTTGGTAAGAGAGAGAAGCCCCATGTACTAGAAAGCATGCTTCCTGAGGGTTGGGGTTTGGTTTTTCTTCACTGGATGCTCAGTTCCTGCCCAGTTGAACAGTGCAGTGCCAGCATTTGAGACCTGTGGTCGGCCCTGGAGGGACAGGGCGAAGCGGCTGCGAGGGCAATGCCACCTGGAAGCACCTTTTCAGAGAACCCGACGGTGGGATTGTCATGGAAGATCTGATCAGGGAAGGAGGAGAACCTGACAGGGAGTAATTGCCTGTTTCAGGGGAAGGTGCTGCTCCGTGGTAGAAACCGTGGAGGAGGTGCACATGGGGCTGAATGGGTGTCCTGGTTTTTATCAGACTCCGGAGATGTGCAGGGAGGGGGCTCTTCATAGGGGTGCAGCTCTGTATGTGCACGGAATTGGCGTCTTCCCTCTGGGTGCCCGCAGCTGCTGACAGGGATAGCTACCAGCCCTGCCTTGGGGACATAATGCATTCAGGTGGCCGTGGAGCCAGTGGGGGGGAGAGAGTGACAGCATGCCTTGTCAAGGGACTTGTGGCGCCTGAGTGCCTGGAGCACTCTTGGACCCTGCGAGACCTGCCACATGCAGATCAGGCCTCCCCACCAGCATGCCCCTTCAGACTGCAGGAGGGAGGATACCGTCCTGAAATGTGGTTGCTGTGCTTGTTTCCTGTTTCCTATTCATTCACATATTTTGGGCGCCCCACCTGGGTGCCAGGTACTGTTCTGCGGATTTCCGCAGAGAACTGAACAAGAAGCCTGGATTCTGGCATAAGCCTGGAGCTTCAGAAGGCATGAAATGTCCTGGCTGAAGCGATGCTGAGGGTTGCGGCACCAGCAGAAGCCGGGGAGTATACATCTCACCAGTGCAGTGAAAGGCGTGTGCTGATGGCTTTGGAAGCACAGACTAGCACCCACCCCTCTCGGGTCCTGCCCACAGGGGTGCTTGGTCGGTTGGGAGCTGGACACACAGACGGCGGCTGTGGCTGAGCTTACCTATGAGGAGGACTGGTGGGGACCGGGAAGGCTGTCCAGGAGGGAGTGTGACGGGGCCGGCAGGTTTCAGGTACCTGCCTGGTGGGTCTCCTGGTGGCTGGCTCGTGCCTCCCCACCACAGGTGTGAGTGCGCTGTGCCCTGACGCTGGTTGGTGATACGGTCTGTGGTCTCTGCAGGTTCCTGCTGCATCCCAGGTCTCCCCCTCACTTGTGTAGGGGCAGGAGCTTCACATTTCCTCAAGGCAGGTAACCAGATGCCTGCTTAGTGAGAACGGCTTACCTGCAGAGCTTAGCCACTTGCCTCCTTCTGAATCTCTTCTCACTGACTGGCTGTGTTAGGGTTTAAAAAACTTTTATTTTGTGTTTAGAGAATTTTAATAATGAATGTTATTTAAAAACTCCTATAAAGACTAAAAGTATATATTTGTGGAAATTATTTTGTGTTCCAGAATTACTCAAAGGAACTTTTGTACGATTCAAAACCTTATTTTTAGGGTTTTCACAAAAGGTGCCCAATGCTGGTGGTTATACTGGGCCATGTAGGACTCTGAGTGTCTTTGTTATCACTTGTCAGCCACAGGGTATGTAATTAGGGTTCAGGGTTTGCCTGTGCCTTGGAGCTTGAAGCTGGGCTCCCAGAAACCAGACCCAAGGGAGGGGGTGTGAGGCCTACTGGGGTCTGCAGTGGCAAGAACACCACCTCTTCTACCAGTTGTGGTCTCCAGTGTGGGACATCCGGGTGCAGTGTAGAACCATAGACTCAGAGGAATGGCACAAAGATGTGTTAACTCTCGTTTTCTAAAGATGGTTTAGGAGACACTTGGAGATGTGATGCCCTAAAGAGGTGCTACCGAATGTTGCCACCTGGAGATGGAAGTTGGGTGAATTGCCATTGGATTAGCACCCTCCCTAACCAGCTCCTAAGGCAGGAGGGGAGGGATGGTTGTGATGTTCTGGGAGTGCATGCATCTTATGCCACCGAGCCTTGGGTGAGCACTCTTAGTGATCCCCAGGACTCTGCTATGGTAGCCACAAGGGCATGTGGAGGTGATGTAAGTGCCCCAGGTTCTGGAAAATGCCTTTCTCAGTCATGGTGGGGCAGGAGTTTACCAGTTATGCCCACATCTGGGAAGCTTGACTCAGCAGCTGATGCCTTTTTGGTCATGTTGGTCAGCAGGCTGGGGGAGGGGGCCACTGTCATGGCCCAGCACTTCTTGCATGCCTAGGGCAGGCCCTCTGGCCTTCGCCTTTCCTGGCTGAGGCTTCCTTGTGCTCTCAGTGTGCCAGCTACACCTTCTTGTTTTCTCTAATTGGTTTAGTGGGCCTGCCTTTCTGCCTACTTGGCATAATGAGTGTGGTCATCTCTAGAGAGGGACTGACATCTGGGTATTTTCCACTCATAGTGGCAGGGAGCCAGCTGTCCTCACGCCCTTGCCATTGCTGAGTGACTGGACAGTCACAGGATTTACGGCCACTCTTGTCCTGTGCCTGGATCACAGGACCCAAACCACCCCGGAGTTATCTATTAGCCCCTAAACCAAAGGAGGCACTTGTCTTCCCAGGCACCAGGGAGGTTGAGCAACAAGGCGTCTGGAAGGAATAGGGAGGTCTGCCTGTGGAGTGTTGGGTGCTGTCCTGAGTGGCCCTCTCTATTTCCACACATGTGGAAATGGTGCTGTGTGCAGGACAAGGGAGTCATTTTTGGTTTTGGTTTTGGTTTTACCAAACTTACAAGGTAATATTTTTATTTTCTACACCAAACTTGCAAGTTAGTATTTCTGTTCTCATTTTGAAGATGGGGAAATTAAACCTGAAAGATGAAGAAAGTTACTCAAGACCACAGGTGTACTGAGTTGCAAACCTGATAATAAAATCCATACTTTCGTGGGGGGGGGGAGCTTTTCCTATTATGTCCCATTGCCTCTCCAAGGAAACATGTCAAAGTGGGAAACGTAAACTTTACAGTGAAAAATCGAAGGAAAGCACAGGCCATGGATTGAGCAATGGTCTGAAAATTAGAATTAACAGAGTCATGTGTCCTGAATGCTGCCCTGGGACTTGTGTTGCCACAAACTGCCTGTTAATAGTGCTCTGTCAGGGATCGAGCCCTGACCATGCAAACACTACTTCATTTTAATGATAGCGGGTAGTCGGCACCTACAGTTCTGCCCTTAAAGAACTGGGCTGGCGCGCCTGGGTGGCTCAGTCGGTTAAGCCTTCGGCTCGGGTCACGATCCCAGGGTCCTGGGATCAAGCCCCACGTTGGGCTCCTTGTTCAGCGCGGAGCCTGCTTCTCCCTCTCTCTCTGTGTGCAATTCCCCCTGCTTGTGTGTGCATGCTCTCTCTCTCTCTGTCAAATAAATAAAATCTTTAAAATATATATATTAAAAAAAAAAGAACTGGGCTGATAATGTTCTTCACCGAGGTGCTATAATAATGAATATGTTAAAAAGTGCTCAGAGAACTACAGTGAGGTACCTATTAAACATCACTGTTGGTCAATACAGTAAATTTATAAAGTGGTTTAACAAAATTTTTTTTTATCAAGAAGGCAACTTTATTATTTTCCCACCTGTAACCATCAGCCTGTTCTTTATGAGTTTGGTTTTTCTGTTTTGTTTTGAGAGAGAGAGCGCATGTGCAAGCTGGTGGCGGGGGGTGGGGGCAGAGGGAGAGAGAGAATCTTAAGCAGGTTCCATGCCCAGCGTGGAGCCCAGCTCGAGGCTCAATCTCACCACCCCAAGGTTGTGACCTGAGCTGAAATCAAGAGTTGGATGCCCAACCAACTGAGCTACCCAGGCACCTCTGTGAGTTTGGTTTGTGTGTTTAGATTCCACATGTAAGAGATCACGCAGTGTTTGTCTTTCTTACCTCACTTAACACAATGCCCTCAGGTTCCATCCATGTTGCAAATGTCAAGATTTCTTCCTATTTGTGGCTGAGTAATATTCCATTGTATAAATTGCATTTGCTTTATCCGTTCATCTGTGGATGGACACTTGGGCTGCCTCCGTAAACTGGCTACTGTAAATAATGCTGCAGACATCCTTTGAACTTGGTGTTTTTGTTTCCTTCTAATACCCAGTAGTGGAATTACTGGATCTTATGGTAATTTTATTTTAACTTTTTGAGGAACCTCCATACTGTCTTCCAGAGTGGCCGCACCAGCTTGCATTCCCACCAGCAGTGTAGGAGGGTTCCCCTTTCTCCGCATCCCCGCCAACATCTGTCGTTTCCCACCTTGTTCATTTTAGCCATTCTGACTGGTGTGAGGTGGTATCTCATTGTAGTTTTGATTTGTATTTCCCTGATGCCGAGTGCTGCTGAGCATCTTTTCATGTACCTGTTGGCCATCTGGATGTCTTCTTTGGAAAAGTGTCTATTCAGGTCCTCTGCCCATTTTTTTTTTTTTAAGATTTTATTTATTTATTACAGAGAGAGAGCACAAGTAGGCAGAGTGGCAGGCAAAGGGAGAGGGAGAAGCAGGCTCTCCGCTGAGCAGGGAGCCGGACGTGGGGCTCGATCCCGGGACGCCAGGATCATGACCTGAGCCAAAGGCAGCCACTTAACTGACTGAGCCACCCAGGCGCCCCCTCTGCCCATTTTTTAATTGGATTGGTTTTTTGCTGTTGAGTTGTGTGAGTTCTTCACATATTTTGGATATTAGCTCCTTATCAGATAATATGATTTGCAAATATTTTCTCCCTTTCAGTAGGTTGCCTTTCCGTTTTGTTGATGATTTCCTTTGCTATACAGAAGGGGGGAGCTTTTTAAAGATGGATTTCATAATTTAATAATAAAGATTTTACTTTATAGTAGCACTTGATTTTAGCAGTTCTAAAGTCCGTTCTGCCGTGAGACTGGTGCCCGGTCCTCTTCCCCCCGGGTCCTTGACTGTCTGCCTCCTTCCTGCCTCGGATGGGACAGAGGAAGTCCTACTGATTCCTAATTCTGCTTCTGCAGGGCGAGGGGTGACCGCCTGAATGACAGTGTGAACATTGATCCCAAGGGACAGATAGTTGTTTTTATTTTTCAGATAATCCTTGTGTTTTTAGGAGGATGGAAAGATACATGACCAGAGCTGCCCCAGGCTCTTCAGGGAATGTGTTTTAGCCCAAAGAAACTACAGGAAGATTACAGTGTTTGTGGAAAGTAATATGAAAGAAACCAGAGGGTTGAAGTCATTTTTTAAGATCCAGGACAGGTGCGCCTGGGTGGCTCAATGACTTAAGTGTCTAACTCTTGATTTCAGCTCAAGTCTTAATCTCAGGGAAGTTCAGGCCCTCCTCCACGTGGAGCCTACTTTTAAAAAAAGACCCCGGGGGCGCCTGGGTGGCTCAGTCGGTTAAGCGACTGCCTTCGGCTCAGGTCATGATCCTAGAGTCCCAGGATTGAGCCCTGCATCGGGCTCCCTGCTCAGCGGGGAGTCTGCTTCTCCCTCTGACCCTCTTCCCTCTCATGCTCTGTGTCTCTCATTCTCTCTCTCTCAAATATAATAAATAAAATCTTTAAAAAAAAAAAAGACCCGGGACAAAAGGCTTTCACATTTTAATTTTAGCCTCTGTGCTCCAGACATGCGGTCCTGGCAGGATACCTGCAGGGGGCCTCTTGTGCTGTGTGTGTCTTAGATCCTTTGCAGGACCCAGTGGAGGGGTGGCAGGGTGCCCGAGGGACTGTGGGGGATTGGCCCATGCACAGCATCTTGGCGTGCTAGTGTCCCTGAAGCAACGTGGACGGGTCCTGGGCCATATAGCGGCAATGAGGAACTTTGCCTTGTGGTCTCTTCCAGAACATGTGGTCACCTCTCCTCAATTGACTAGCTTCTTTTTTCTTCTGTGAGTCTGATGCCCGTTTGTGGGCTGTTACCTATTCTACTCTCCTTCCTCCCTTAGGCTGGGGCTTCTTCCCATCTGTTTTCTCATAGACACTTGCCCTGCTGAGAACTCTGTGGGCCAGGTGGCTGTGCAGTCCCACAGCTGGGCCCCTGGGACAGTGGTCCCATCTCTTTCCTGGGAGGATGCACCCTGCCTACTGTTGGTGAGCCTGCCGTGGGCACTTGGCCCTGTCTGGTGGCCTCGAGCCCCCGGACCTGTCCCTCCCTTAGAGTCCTCGGCTGGGGAAGCCCTGCAGAGGAGGCTGGTCACAGCTCTCAGCACTTACCTTTGTCGAGGGTCACTTCAGAAACGTGTGCACTTTGGAGAAAACCGTTGTTTCTCGGAACTGCTGGGGATGGGAATTGGGCCCCAGAGGGTTCTTGCTCTGAGCTGGTCTCTGGGTCATGCCTTCTCGGAGGTGCGTGGGACTGGCGTTCTGCTCAGGGGCTCTCCCAGCACACTTCCCTGGATCCTGACCTTGTACCAGAAATGGTCGATACATAACAATTTAGAGATTTTTATTTAGTTTCTTTTGTAAGTTACCTACAGTAAATCTGATTTTGTAGGGTGCACAGTTCCATAGCTTCTGTGCACGCAGGTTTCTCTAACCACCGGCACAGGCAGGGCATGGAACACGACCTCACCCGGCCTCTGGCCTGGTCTCTGTCATCGCAGTTTGGCCTCTGGAGAGTGCCATGTAAACGGGGTCACGTGGCGCATGAGTTCTGTAGACCAGCTCTCACCCACGTGCCTGAGACCCCTCACAGCCTCATGGTGCTGCGTGCGTAACAGCCTCCGTTGTTTAGTTCTTGTTTTAGGTAATTTACGTCCAGTTATTGATGCGTTTAGGTCTGCCATGTTACTCCTTGTCTCTCTTTCTGTTCCCCTGCCCCTCTCCCGCCCCAGGTTGGCTGTGCTCCACTTCAGCGGTTGTGCTGGTTTTGATTACGTCTCCGGTGTTGCCCTGGGGGTACAGTGAGTCCTCCTGGGCTTTTGCAGTCCCAGCCCCCTGGCTCTGCCACATCAGGTCCGTGCGGACCCATTCAGCCTCTCTCCCTCGGCTGTGGGGGCCCCCACCACAGTGTTACCATGGCTGTTTTCAGTAGTTAGGCATGTTTTGAAGAATGGGTGAGGAGAACGGTCTGTTTCACGAGACATTTACCATTTCTGTTGCTCTTTATTTCTTCCTGGTGGCCTGGTTTCTTTCTGTCTGAGGACTTTGGTTAGTGGTCCTCTTAGAGCAGGCCTCCTTCTCTCCTTACTTTCTCCTTATTCCTGCTCTGAGAGTGTTCACATTCATTCCTGAGGGGTGTTTTTGCTGGAAATGGAATCATCCAAGGTTGGAAGCATCCTCATTTAGAGATGAGGACCCTGAGGCCTGGATGGGTTGCATGCTCTCCAGGGACATTCTCTGCTCATCTGGATTTGGGGTCTGGGTCTTCGACTCCCGTCGTAAGCAGCTGTTAGAATGCAGAGGGCCAGGGTCGTATCTGACATGGGGCAGCCTGCGGGCTTGTCTTGGCGTCCGCTGCTTGCCCTGCAGTCTGCATGCCTGACCGGTTGTGGGCCCTGTTTCAGGGGAGGTGCATCCACTGGCTGTCAGAGAGCCCTGCCTCCTCGTCCAGAGTGGAGGCGGTCGGAAGGGGCCGAGCCCATGTCTCTGCCAGGTCTTCTGAGTAAATGGTACTGCTGGGGACACTCGCCTCCTCACCTTGGGTCCTGGTGTCCCTTTCTCTCACCTCTTTGTTTCTTGGGCTGTGCTTTCGAATCTCTCAGATGTGGTCTCTTCGTGAATCCTGAGGCTGTGCATATCCTGCTCCGTGAAAACTGCCGTGTCTGCCTGCTACCCAGCCTCTGAACGATAGCCTCCAGCCGCAGACACTGGCGGGAGACGTACCCTCCGGTCCTTGAGCAGCAGCCTTGAGCCTCCCAGCCCTTGGGGCTCTTCCCACTTGACTGATGGGCTGACACAGCAAACAGAGACCCAGCTAGGAGCCACCCGCGGTGACTCTCAGTGTTTCTGAGCGTGAGGTTGAAGGCTGAGCTCTGTCCGGTGGCAGCACGTCACGGGTGTAGTCATGCTTTGTGTGCTGACACATTCTGTGTTTGTGTTTGGATTTCAGGCGAGCCCACACCCTAACTGTGCTCTTCATCCTCACCTGTGTGCTTGGCTACGTGACTCTGCTGGAGGAGACACCTCGGGACACAGCCTATAACACCAAGAGGTAACCAGGCCCCCAGCCTGGGTGGTGCAGGCACCCGGCATAGTTGGGTGTGGGTCCTTGCTCTGTCGGGCTGGCCCGTGGCTCGGGGGGCCAGTCTCTACTCCAAGGCTGACGGGGCTCCCATCCTCCCCGTGGCATATGCCTGAAGTATCTCTCCCAGGCTGCCCCTTGGAGCTGTGTGGCTTTTTTAGCCTCACATCCACCTGTCCCAGGACCCTTGAGGGTACCATCTCTCATGGGACCTGCAGCTTGTGTGGGATTTGCACGAGTAACAGACCAGAATGTGCTGGACCAGCACCAGGGTTGGAGCCCAGAAAGGTCGCCGGTTCTGATGAGAGGGATGGTTTCCCTACACACCCCACAAGCAATGCTCTGGACACCACCTGAGTGTCTACAGTTCAGCTCAGTCCTGAGACCATCTGCCCAGAGACCACATCAGGTTGCACAGGTTGAGTGCTCAGTCCTGCAAGACTGTCCTCCTTCCCCCACTGCAGGTGCCAGTCACGACTCGGAGTTGTCACCAGGGCCTCTGACCGAGTGCCTGTAAATCCAAGATTCCCATGACTTCTCAGTTCTATTCATTCACCAGAGCGGCTCACAGAACTCAGAGAAACATTTTACTTAACTAGATCCCCAGCTGATTACCAAAGGATCCAAGTCAGGAACAGCCAGATGGGAGAGGTGCCCAGGGTGAGGTCTGGGGAAATGTCCATGGCCGTTCCAGGCACACCACTGTCCCCGGATCTCCACGTGTTCCGCAACCCAGAAGTTCTCAAAACCTTGTCCTTTGGGTTTTATGGAGGCTTCATTACTTAGCCATGACTGACTCATTGGCCTTTGGCGATTGATCTCAACCTTCAGCCCCGCTGCCATCCCCGGAGGTCAGAGGGTGGGATAGAACTGACCCTCTAATCCCTTGGTTGGCTGTCCTGGCAGCCAGCCCCCATCCTTAGGTGAGGGTCCAGAAGTCACCTCATTAACATAACAAAAGACACCTTTATCACTTCAGAAATGCCAAGGGCTTTAGGGGTTCTGTGCCAGAAACAGGGATGGAGAAATATATATTTCTTACTATAAATCACAATTTCACAGAGCCTGTGAGTTTGGGCATCTGGGGGTATACAGATATTTGTGATGGCCAGGGACGATTCTCTCCCATCAGCCAGCACCGTTCTTGAGCTTTGTTGATACTAATGCTTTTTGAACATTTTAAACGGGCATTCTTGTGGATGATGTCATCCTGAGGTCAGGAGAGGGGTAGACTGCCTTTTCAATATTATCTCCAGACACAGACTAACTGCTAGGTCGTGTTCTTTGCCGGAATCCCGTGGGTTCTGAGGCCACTGTCAGAAGTGTGTGAGGGAGATAAGCTGGTTTTAGAACTGATTGCTGTGGGATTTCTGTGCTGGGCGGACTCCTCAGGCCCGTGAAACCCCCTTGCTCCTCTGACCCACTTGCGCTGTGGCATGGGGCACCGGGGCAGGGACAAAGGCAGAGGGCGGTGCTGGATTTGGGTTGGTGGGACCGGGGCTTGTGAAGTGGGGGGGCTAGCGTCTGCCTGGGAGTGTGGCCTGAGCGCCGCTGTGTGCTCCACGGGGTCTAGCCTGTTAGGACGCTGGGACGTCAGGCACTCCCTGCCAGCAATACGCCTGGCCGCCTGCATGTACACGCACTTCAGAGCCCCCATCTGGTCTCCTAGGCTGCAGCCAGGGGGTGGGGGCTCTGCTCCCGTAGGGGGGCATGCCATGCCTTGTCCTCAGCGGGAAGACACCCTGGCCCCTGGTTGCACGCTGTGCAGGATATCCTCCCACCTCTCCCACACCGTCTTCCTCTTTTTCCCAAGCCCTGGGTGTCGGCCTCCAAGTCTAACACGTCCGCACGGGCACTGCCCGTTGCTTGGTGCCCTGCTGGTGCAGGGGGAGCCAGTCGGTGCCGCGTGCGTGGGTAATGGAGTCCAGAAGTCGAAGGGGGAGCTCGGCCCCTCTGGGTGGCCCGAGGCTGCCCTCACTGCAGTGGGTCCCTGCACCAGGGACACTGAGCCTGTGGACTCAGGAGACAGTGAGGCTGAGTTTGCTTAGTGGGTGTTTCCAAGTAGAATGTGGCCTTCTCTGTGAATTTGTCTGTCAGCACTGGTATCTGCTGGGCACACATGGGCAGGGAGCACCAGAAAGCAGGACTTGGTCATGTTCAAGAGGTGTCCCCCTGCGGCTGTGAAGTTAGGCCAGCGATGAGCAGCTCCAGGCAAGAGTTGTCACAGGTTAGAGCACAACGGCAGCAACAGTGGGCCCTCATGGGGCACTGGTTCTTACTCCCCAGACGCCTGCTGGCGAGCCCCTCCAACCCAGAGCCTGAGGTTAAGGGGCCTTGTTGGCTGTTTCTGGGCAGAAGCTGTGGACCCATGTGGGCATGTTCCACCTCTTCACCTTGCACTGGCCCCTGTCCTGAGCTGCCCCTGCACGTGAGGGGCTGGGGCAGTGAGCAGCAAAGACGCCTGGGCCCTCACCCCAGCAGCCCATGCAGGTTCACTGAAGGGGAGGCCTTGAGGCGGTTGGGAATTTGAGGGCTCCTAGACCCGTCTCTGCTCTGAAGTTCTGTGCACTGGGGACACTGGGAATCTTGATAGCTCACAGTCCCTGTCCCTCTTGGCCTGCTTCAGGGACAGAGAAGAACTACCCTCCTGGCCCCATAGTGCTGCACGTGGCGCCTGGAACCTACTCCTGGCTCATCCCTGGGAGCCTCCATTGCCCCAGTGATGCTTCCGTCCTCACACATCTGTGGTTCTGCTGCTGCTTCCAAGGAGATTCTCGTGGGTGTATGGATGCATCCTCGCCCCATAGACCCCGGGCTGGCCCACAGCCCTCCCCCACTTCAGCACACCTGCCTCCCTGAGGCAGGCACTTTCGGGGCAGCCTCCAGCCCAGCCCCTTCGCATCATGTCAGAGCTTTTGATGCCCTCAGGCTTAGATTTCATGTAAAGAAAGTGCTTCTAGAGATTATGTTTATTGTTAAAAAAAAGAAAAAACAATGTCTGCATTATTTAAAACCTAGAAAATTGGGTTGTTTTCCCTAAGTTCTCAATTTCAGCTTGTATATCATTGTTCTTTTTATGGATCTAACAAATTGTTATTTTGGGGGAGTAGGTTTTTTCTTCCGAAGTCAGCTTTATCGGCCAGTAATTTAATACAATGCATATCTAGAGCGTACAGCTCAGTGAGTCTCCCCAGATGGACGTGTCTGTGGAGACACAGTCCCCCCCACCAGCCATCTGTACCCGTAGGTTCCCCTTGTCTGCAGTCCAGTTTCATATACACCGACTCACCCAGCCTGCATGCCGTGTTTGGTTTCTTCCGTGTGGCATGGTGGCCTTGTGACATCCGTGCTTGGTGCCTGTCAGTGGTTGGTCAGGTTCATTGCTGGGGAGTGTTCCGCTGTGTGGATGGGCCACAGTGTATTGATCCATTTATCCACTGGTGACACTTGGGATGTTGACATACATGTATGAGCGTGTATGTACAGATACATAAAGAAGTTATTACATGTAAAACGTGAATGTATTTTGCATATCTGTAGTTCACAGGAAATACAAAGAGCAGAGCTGGAGGGATGACCCCGCCTGGCCTCCCTGACCGGCGGCAGTGACGTGGCCAGCATGGTGTTGGCAGTCAGTGGAACAGACCACACAAATACCATCCCCTCGCTGCAGGCAGAGGAGTGCAGGCAGTTCGGGGGAGGAAATCTTTCCAGCCAACGGAGCTGGAACAGCTAGATGTTTATACCAAAGGAAGCTACATACAGACTTTTCACCATCATTGAAAATGGATTATAGACCTAAGTGTAAAATAAGAAACCATAAAACTTCCTGAAAAAAACAGTAGAAAATCTGGTGACCTTGGGTTTGGTGGTGACTTTTTAGATACGACACCAGAAGTTTGACAGTTTCTTGTAGAATTAAACTTATTCTTACCCTGGGATCTAGTAAAAAATCCTAGGTATTTATCCAAATGAAATGAAAACTCATGTCCACACAAAAGCCAGCAAACAGATGTTAGAGCCCCTTTATTCGTAATTGCCCAAACTTGGAAGCAGCCAGCATGTCCTTGAGTAGATGAGCGGATAAACAAAAACAGGTACATCCAGACCATGAAATATTATTAAGCAGCAAAAAGAAATGAGCTACAGGGGCGCCTGGGGGGCTCAGTCGTTAAGCGTCTGCCTTCGGCTCAGGTCATGGTCCCAGGGTCCTGGGATCCGGCCCCGCATCGGGCTCCCTGCTCAGTGGGAAGCCTGCTTCTCCCTCTCCCTCTGCCCCTCCCGACCCACCCCCCTCCTCCGCTCCTGCTCTCTCTCTCTCTCAAATAAATAAAATCTTAAAAAAAAAAAAGAAAGAAAGAAAAAAGAAATGAGCTACAAAGCCATTGTTAAATAACAAAATTCATCCGAGTAAATTTAAAGATACAGTTGGCTTTATTCAGTGATTCATGGCTGGACGGCCTCCCATCCAGCAATAGAAGGAGCTCCGCCAAGCTGCAGAAAAGGAAAGGTTTGTAAAGACAGGAGAGTGGCGGTAAGGGAAATTAGGAGCAGGGAAGGGAGCGGAAGGGGTCTGTGGGGCGGATTACCTGCCTAGGACTGGCCAGCTAATTCCATGCTGACTGGTTAAAGGTCGAATTCCTGGGGTCGAGAATGTACTTCGGGTGGGTGTTAAGTCCGTGGTTTGCTGACTGGGGCTCAGCCCAAGGGACTTTGTTTTGGGCCTCCTGTCTCCTTTTTAACACTACAAAGACGGATGGTGAAACTCAGATGCATCTTAAAAGAAGCCGTGTGGGAAGGCCGCCATGCACTGTGTGATGTTCCCATGTCACATTCTGGCAAAGGTGCTGCCATGTGGTGGTGAGATCAGTGATGTCTGGGGCGATGGGGGAGTCCGCGCATGGAGCTTGGGATTGGAGGGGTTTTTAAAGTGCTCTGTACGGTACTGTAATGGTGGATACGGGACCCTTTGCATTAGTCAACACAGGGAGCAAACCTAATGTAGGCAAATCAGAGAAAAGGAAATCAGTCAGGACGTTGGGGATCCCAGGAGCAGTGCAAACGGCGCAAGACCCTCACTGCATTACACGTGTGTGACGCCACCTCAGGGACGGGGCTGGAGTCCGCCAGGCTCAAGGCAGAGCACGTGCACACGCGCCCTGGGCTCTCGTGGACGCAGGGGCTTCCCGCGGGGGCCCAGCCTCACAGGTAGGAGGCTGCCGCACACCCACACTGGAATGGAGGGACCAACTCGGTGGCCGGCGGAGGCTGAGAACCTGGGGTGTCACTGTGGAGTGGGGGGTGACAGGGAATCGGGAGAATGGTCCGTGGGATGACGGATGGGAGCTGGAGGCACGAGCTTAATGTCGTTGAAATTCATGTAGATGCACAGTCAGTACACACGGCTCCGTCCGTCCGCTCAGGGGCCCAGAAGCTACAACGCCCCAGTGGCGAGGAGCACGCCGGCCCCCAGAACTCGGTTCCCCAGACCGTCCTCCAGTGAAGGAACGAACCAGGGCTCCTGGAGAAAAGGCTGATTCCAGGGCTGGGGCAGGAGACGCCCAGCTAGGTCTGGGGGGCGTCTAGCGCCAGAAAGGAACAGCTCGGAAAAAAAAAAAAATCCCGCAAGGATGGGTTTATGTCAAAGCTGGGATGAAGTAGACAACTGAAAGTGCTCCCAGGGGCCAAAGCGGGACGATTTGAGCAACAGAACATAAAGTAGTATCACATTGTAACCCAAAGTATAAAATACATACCCCCAAGTCCATGCTGATATAAATGGTCAAGTAAGTGAGGGAGAGGAGACAAGTTGCCCCTGCAGATGAGTTCCAAATAAATGTAAGAGCTCCCCGTCAAGGAGTGGGGGCTCAGCCCCCCAGCCCTTGAGTGCTGGTTGTACAGAGGGACCCTCCCAAGAGCAGAGTAGGGAGGGCACCTAAGAGGTGCACCCCAGCCAGGGGACATCAGAGATCATGTTGGTGTGATATGATCTTACTCCCAAAACCTGCAACCCTAATGGAATCACAGAAAGCAGCAGACGGTATTGACTAGGGGACATCCTACAGGACACCTGACCGGTCCTCTTCAATACTGTCCAGGTCTTCCAAAACAAGGGAAGTCTGAGGCGCTGTCACCACCCAGAGGGCCGAGCAGACATGATGGTAGAATGTCATGGGCGTCCTGGGTGGGATCCTGGGGCAGAAAAGGGGCTTTATTTATTTATTTTTGTAAGTTTGTTTATTTGTCAGAGAGAGAGACAGAGAGCATGAACGGGGGAGCAGCAGAGGGAGAGGGAGAAGCGGGCTCCCCGCTGAGCAGGGAGCCCGACACAGGATTTGATCCCAGGACCCCGGGGTCATGACCTGAGCCGAAGGCAGAGGCTTCACTGACAGAGCCACCCAGGCGCTTCAGAAAAGGGGCTTTAGATAAACAGTGAGGAAATCTGAAAATACAGCAGACTGTAGTTAACGTACCAGCATGGATTCGTGACACATGACCCATACTGGTGTAAGGTGCTAACGGGGGGCCTAGGTGTGGGGAATGTGGGAATTCTGTATGTTCTGCGCCTGACTGACACGTCTTGCTAAGTAACCCTAAATGTTGCCTTAAGACGTGATGCCAAGGTTGGAATCATGAAGCGGACCTGGTGAGGGAGGGGGTCGCCCAGCACCACTGGGCACAGGCGCCCTGAGGTTTTGCCTCCCTCGTTCTGTTCTCGCGGTCACCCCTCTGCTGGTCAAGCCATCTCTGGATCACAGCAGAAGGGGCCTCTCCTGGGGGTAGAGGCTGTCACTCTGGGAGGGTGGCTGAGCGGGGGTCTGTGTGCTCCTTCAGGCAGCCCGTGTGGACTTCCCACCTCCTCCCACCCCCAAACGGACCAGTGTGCGTCTTCGGGCAGGTGGGTACCTCACGGGCCCTCTGTATGGGCTCCTGTGATGGGGACGTGGGTCCTGCCCTGCTGAGCACAGTGGCCAGTGTCCCTCTGTGCCTCCTGCAGTCTGGAGGCCGGCAGCTGCAGGAGCAGGGAGCCAGGACTGACATGGAGACTGGTCCAGAGACTCAAGTGTCCCCTGGGGGCCACACCCACAGCAGCATACCACCCAAGCTGATCAGACTTACCCTGGCCATATGAGGGGCGGGCAGAGTCCCCGGCCCACTCCTGGCCCTGGTGTGGGGACAGGTAGGAGAGCAGAGGGCTGCCAGGGGCTGTCCTGTGAGGCCCAGCTTTGACTACCGAGTGCACTTAGCGGGCAGAGGGGGTAAGGTGTTTTCAGGCTGACACCTTTGGCCTCCTGTGTGGTCTCGTGTCTGTGTGTGTTTGATAGAGCATCCCAGCCGGAAACAGCAAGCGCGTGCGTCTTTGCCGCGTGATTGCTGGCGGGGGAAGAACGGGCGCCCTGCCGCCCTCAGACCCCCTGCTGGGCGGGGCGGTGGTCGGAGTGGCTGTGTGTGTGTCCTTGCTCCTCCCACCGTGCAGGCGCACTTCTCCGTGTCTGTGTGATCACAGGGAGTCGGGGCACTTCATGCTGTTGCAGACCACAGCAGCAGTCTGCTGGGCCCTTGCCTCATGGGAGCAGAAGGCCGTTCATTCCGTCCTCGCATCCTCGCATCTTTCCTAGGAGGCCCTCGTGCAGCCTGGCTGGTCTCGCATGGGGTTTTAGGTGTTCTTTAAGTGGGAAGCACGTGCAGGAGCGGGGTACCACTTTGCAGCCTAAGGCACAGCTCCCAACCGAGGGCCTTCTCCCAAGGGGGTGCTGTCTCCGGGCGGCACATGGGCTGTGGAGGCCGCGGTGTCGGCCCTCCCTGCCGCCCGGGCACCCACCTGTACCCCGAGGCCTCCTCCCGCTTTGCCCCACTGGGGTCCCTCCCACCCCGGCCCTCCCACCTGGGAGACATGCACTGAGGGGCTGTCTGTTCTTTATTTGCAGAGGTATTGTGGCCAGTATTTTGGTTTTCTTATGTTTTGGAGTCACACAAGCTAAAGACGGGCCGTTTTCCAGACCTCATCCAGGTAACTTGTCCTTTCTTTGTCCGCGTGTGCCCACATGACAGTTCTGTCCTGAGCAGTCACTCCACATCCATTCTGCCGGGTGCGAATGTCCTGTCCTCCCTCTTCCCAGCCCCTCCCAGCCGGCCAGGGCACGCTGTCATCAGCTGAGGAGGGTGAGGGTGGGTTCCTCTTGTCTCAGCCCTTCTCCCGTCTCTCTGCTCCTCACCCCGTCCTGCTCCTGTCCTTGTTCTTCTCTTCCCTTTCCACCCACTCTGTCTGAGGGGGCTTCTTCTGCAGAGCGAGGTGCCCCAGGACTGTCCACGGGGTCGGCGTGGGCCTGCCATTGAGGTGCTCGCCGCGTGCCATCTGCGATGAGTCCTCCTGTCTCTGACCCCCAACCCCCAAATTAAAGGAGGAGTTCTAACAACCCTTAAGCCTCGGAGCTGCAGAGCATTGCTCGGGCTGCCCCTGGTCCTGCCCTGAGTCCTGCCCCCCATCCTATCCCCCATCCTGCCCCTTATCCTGTCCCTGATCCTGCCCCCCTGTCCTGGTCCTGCCCTCCTGTCCTGTCCCTGGTCCTCCCTTCTGGTCCTGCCCCCAGCCCCAGTGTGTTTAGGGCTCCAGCCTCGTTGAGGGGCCGCCTCCAAGGGCACAGTGAGTTTTCCTGAGGTCTTACAGCTTAGTAACGTGTTTCTTTTCTGTATTAATAGGGGTGTGTATTCATTGTAGAATATTTGGAAAATACAAAAACTATTTTTAAATAGAAACAGAAGCCAATCACAGAAAATAACCACTGTTAAGTTTTAATGTGTTTTTATGAATACACACACAGACACAGAGCTTAAAAAATGTGATTCTCCCCTGTGTGGTTTTATATCATTGATTTCTCACTTCAGGTTAACATAAACCTCTCCTTCGTGATTTTGTATTTGAGAACTAGACATTTCACGGCTGCTTGTCTGGCCATCATTTGATACACGACAGTTTATTTACCAGTCCTGTATCATCATATGCTCCAGCTTTCATAAAGCAGGCTGTAGTGAATTTCTGCACATGCATCTGTGCGTATGTATCCAATCATTCATTTAACACCAAGCCCTGGGAGTGGAAGCTGCAGGCTGAACAGCGCGCGCATTGTAGGCCTGTGGTAGACATGACCGAACAGCCCTCTGGAGGCGGTCAGTGAGCACCGTGGCTGTGAGCCGGGCCCCTGCCGGTCTTTCCAGCTGTTCTGCCCCCTCAGTGCCCGCTGGGGACGCTGATGCTGGGTGACCCCTGTGCGGCAGTGGGGAGGGGGCCCAGCCCCCCAGCTTTCCATCTGCTCAGTCATGGGCCTCCAGAGGGTCTGAACGCCCAGCCAGCAGAGAAGTGAGAGAACAGTTTAAAAGCCACCAAAAATCACAGCAAAAATCCAGGTGCGGTGAGTGCCTATTGGATTGGGAAGAGTCAGCAGTTCCAGGCGTGGCAAGTCCCTTGGGGGCGCTGGGCCCTGCCCCGGGGTCGGATGGCCGGTGGGTGGCTGCTTGGCCTCTGGACTCCTGGGAGACCCTGTGCTCTGTCCAGTTGGGGGTGCCGGACACCCTCGTCTGAAAGACTCCCCTGTGGTTTCTGTGAGCTTCATGAGCATTAACCCAGCCCTCCGCCCCCAGAAGGCAGGCTCGTAGCTGTGTTCTGAGTTCTCCTCCACCTTCCTTCCTTCCTTTCGGTTTGGTTGCTTGGTGTAAACTCTCTGTCCCTGCCAGTCTGTAGTTGGACGAATGTGGGGATCCTGTTCTGGAGCACTTCTTCCCTAGCAGTCGGCAGAAGGCCTCGACTTCTCAGATCAGCACGCACTGGACATGAGTCCTGTCAGTCCTGTGCAGCATGCTGTGGGGAACAGTGGGAAGGGTCTTCTGGCCCCAGGAAGGAGGTGTCGCGGGGCTGCAGGACCCACTGTCTGGGAGGGGACTGGAATTGGCTGCAGTTCCCAAAAAAACTGGCCGGTTGAAAAGGCACCCTTCTCGTAAGAATTTTTATTCTCATCCGTGGCTCCCTCCAAACGCTGGAATAAGCAGAATATTGCCGGGGCTGCTGAGGCGGCTGGACTCAGTGCTTTTAGGGAGAAAGTAAGCATGCCAGTGGGGCGGCTACTGAGAGAAACCAGCCTCAGGAGTCTCCCGGCGGCTCAAGGGAGACCCTGCGTGGGAATGTAGGAGGAGCACCTGCTGTGTATTTGGGGGTGGGTGGGCAGGTGGGAGTGACGGGAGGTGGGAGATGGCTGGGTCCCTGACCAGGAGCCGTGGTCGGGGAGGAGACAGATGGCGTGTCAGAAGGTCCACAGGGAAGGTGCCGTCGCACGGTTGTGGGCTGAGCGCTCCGGGGGAAGGCGCCTGGAGTTGCTTTAAGCCAGGCCCTTTTAGCTCCCGCTGCAGCCCTTGACCAGGGGACCTTTGCAGGCATTTCCCAAAGTCAGGGGCAGTGACGCTGGTGTGTCACGTCCACTCTCTGTCCCGTGCCCCAGAAGTACTTGAGCAAACCGTCCTGAGAACTGACCTTCACGCTTCCCACCTACACCAGCCTGGGCTTTCGGGAGTCCTGGTGGCTGTTTCCCCCACAGGCAGATGACGTGCAAGCCCCCGGGGGTGCTGGGTGGGCCCTGGAGCCCCGCGTGAGTGCCCCCGCCCCCACAGCCCGAGATGTCCGAGGCCGAGCGGGGTCTCTTCCATGTTTGCAAGCACCACCTTTTTTATGCAAGGGGAATGGGTTTTTAAAAGCAGGCTGGTGGTTTTTCTGTGAAGAGTCGTAAGCAAAGGGAAAGTAGATATTTTAGGTCTTTATTAGACAGGATTATCAAGATTTTCGGAAGGTGAAAGTTATCATTTGTGTCCCAGAATTGTTGCACGCACTCCCTCTCCTGTTACCTCCTCCCCGGGTGAGCAACTGAGCTTTCCGTGCCAAGCTGCGGAAACCAGGTGGTGGAGAGAGGGCGTCCTGGCTAATCAAAGGGATCTTGAGGGAAAAGTTTTTTTTTCCTCAGCTCTGTTGAGATTTGATTGACCCCTAACGTGTGGGTTTGGGGTGTACGAGGTGATTGGACACACGTGGGTATTGTCCACTGGCGGCCACAGCAAGGTCAACGCCTTGGTCGCCTCACAGACTTAGTCTTTCTGCGGGGAGAACGTGTGAGACCTGCCCGTCAGCAGCTTGGAAGTACTCGCCCCCAGCATGAGTGGTCCTGCTGAAATGGAGAGGTTTCCTGAAACAGGGTGCCACAACCAGGTTCGGTTTATCCCAGGGATCCAGAGGTGGCCTAACGTCCAAAAACGTGTGTGTGTAATCCCTCACATGAGCGCTAGAGAGGAAGGATGACGTTTCCTCCCCATTCACGGGAAAAACAGTGTCCTGGACTTAGTAGGCTTTCTTAACCTGATCAAAGGTATCCGAAGGTTCCTGCAGAATCGCTTAACCACGACGGTCAGAAGCGTGCTAGTCAGCGGACAGGGGCGTGCCTGCGGGACCAGGCGGGAAAACCAGGCAGGAAGGAGGCACACCGCACAGGGCCGAGCTCACTTGTGAGTGCGACCGTGCGTGCTGCGCTCTCCCGCGGGGGTCCACCTGACGCCGGTGCTCTGTGTCTTTGTAGCTTACTGGAGGTTCTGGCTGTGCGTGAGTGTGGTCTACGAGCTGTTCCTCATCTTCATACTCTTCCAGGTAAGGGGCTTTTCTCGGCTGCAGGGTCTGGGAATGCAGGTAATGGTGTGGCCCCGGGTAAGTGAAAGGGTTTGAGAAGACTGCCGTCGGCCCCTCTGGAGCTTTGGCAGGAAGCAAGGCTGGACCCCAGCAGAAGTGGGCAGGGGCTGTGAGGGGGGACCCTCCGGAAAGTTCCAGGTGTGGAAGGGCTGTACCCGCCACAGCTCAGCAGGGTTTCCGCCCTGAGCGTGGAGCACTTTGAGGGCCCTGCCCAGACGGCCTCGGTTGGGGAGCAAGGACAAGGCCCAGTGGAACCGCCTGGCTCAGGTGCACATGCCTGCTGGGCAGTCTGTCCTCTGAGGAGCTGCCGGTGTTCCGGGCCTGAGGGGGGCCCAGCTCACCTGCTTCCACACAGCACTCAGTACTGAAGGTGGCCCCGGCTGTTCAGTCCCTCCGCGCACACAGGGTGGTCAGGAGGGAGGTTGGAAACTGCTCACCTTAGTAAACCTTGGGTCAGGACTTCTGTTAACGTTCCTTGTTTTGCTTAATTTGGTGTATGTTTTTGTTGTTGTTGTTGTTGTTGTTGTTGTTTTTCGGTGTACGTTTTGATGGTGAGCTTCAGTTTACAGAGTACTTTATTCACAACCTCAAAGCTATCAGTGGTGGTGCTCATAGCTGATGCTCGTGCTGTAGTCAAATTTACTCCTTTAGGGTACGGTGCGAACGGTACACCTGTGTGTGTTTGTAACCCCACGTGGAGGACCCTGCGGTAGCTTGAGTCACCCATCCCTGTCTCCCCCAGAGCCACTGACCTGCTCTCCCTCCACCACCTGGGCCCCTGAAGGGCGTCCGGGCCCTGGGCCTCTTTCCCGCTGAGTGGGGTGGCCAGCCACATCGGCACTGTCCTTGAGCGGGGCTGTTGGCGACAGGCTTTCGTGTGCACCTGAGCAGGATTGTGGGCCTGCCGTGTCCCACGCATGTCACTTGTCAGGAGCGGCCAGACCGCTCCCACCCCACCTGCACTCGTCAGGATCTTTACCGTGGCCGCTCTTGGTGGTGTGTCCTGGCGTCTCCTGCTTCTGTTTGCGTTTCTGGAATGCCCTCTCTGCTGAAGTGCTCACGCTTTGGGGCGCCCCCACGGGGTGCTCGGCCTTCAGAGGCTCCTCACCGTGTGCACAGGTTTCACCTGTCGTGGGGCCTGAGTGCCTATGAGTCCGGCTCCTGCTGACCTGCTCTCCTGACGCAGGGACACAGCAGTGTCCAGCCTCAGATCCAGTGGTTACCGAAACCACATGGGGTGATTTCAGTTGTTAGTGATGTTACTGTCTGAGGGTCACTTCCAAAGACCCCAGGCGGGGGACAGGGTTGCGTTGCAGGACAAGGCAGCATGGGTGGCCTTGGTCATGTGACACGCAGGTCTGCGTGTCTTCTGCCCATCGGCCACAGATGTCTGTCTCCCCCATTACCCTCTTCCCTGCTTCGTCCCTTGGCTGGTACTTGGGGCAGGAGTGAGGGGACAGGGTCCTGACTGCAGGCGTCCTGGGGCCCCTCCCTGTGGACTGGAGGCCCCAGCTGCTGGCTGGAGAGGGCCCGAGGGAGGGGGAAGCCTGGGCCTGCTGCAGGGCAGCCTCTGTCCATGCAACCCTGGAAGTCCCCTCAGCGCTAAGGCCAGAAGGAGCGATTTGCTAGGGTACGTGTCCGTGTCTGGGAAGGCTGTCCTGATGTCGTGCTCCTTCCGTGAGGGGACGTGGAGAGGTGAGGCGGCAAGACCACTGAGCTGAGCCTTCGGCCTGTGGCCCACCTGTGTCCCCACATGGGGGGCGTGGGGCATCACCTTGCACTTGGGACCCCCCCAGTCTGCTCAGCCCTGTGTTGGGGGGACGGCAGCAGAGACAGGGTGTTTGCCCCCACTCGGTGGGGGTGCCTTTCACAGCCCCCAGGCCGTACACGTGGCTCGAGGTTTCGGGAGTTTAGCCGCGTTCTCCCATCACCACCAGCAGCGTCTGGCCCCACTAACCAGGGTGCTGGCCTTGCAGACTGTCCAGGACGGCCGCCAGTTTCTGAAGTACGTGGACCCCAGGCTGGGAGTCCCACTGCCCGAGAGGGACTACGGGGGAAACTGTCTCATCTATGATGCGCACAATGAGAGCGACCCCTTCCACAACGTCTGGGTATGGGCGGGCCCGAGGGGCCCAGTGCTCAGGGTGGGGCCCAGAGTCCAGTGCTTAACAAGCTCCCAGGTGCTGACCTGTCCCAGATGTTTCTGGAACCCCAGTTATTCTGCAGATCGGACGGGGTGGGGGTGGCGTGGGCCCTGGCAGGCGCTGGCCTCCCTTCTGCTTGACCAGGGGCTCCCTTCAGCTCAGCCCACTTGGAGCAGGGGAGGGGGACCCAGGGGCCATGCAGCCCACATGTGGGGGCCCTGTCCCAGCTCACCGGGGTGCGGGTCCCTGCCTTCCAGCCTGGAGACTTGGTCTCGGCCCAACCCGTGTGCTTCACTGAGGGGCCCACTGCTCTCCTCGGTCGTCAGGGTGCTGTCTGCTTGTGCACAAGACCCTAGCTTTGTCCCCCGGTCCAGCCGGCGCTGCTCAGAAAGGCTGAGACCATCCCAGCAGTCCTGGTTTGGGTGGGAGCCGGGCCCGGGGTGCATGCGGGCTGCACACGAGGCTGGTATCCTACCCCCCAGGACAAGCTGGACGGCTTTGTGCCTGCGCACTTCCTTGGCTGGTACCTGAAGGTAAGACGACCTCGTCAGAAGGACACCCTGGGTCTGTCCTGTGTTCCAAGTCCATTGCCTAGCCACGTGCTGACGTTGAGAGTACTGGAGTGTTGTGGGCGAGGGCCTGGGGGCCGTGGCCCCGACCTGTGCTAGTCCTTGGTGTCATGGTCTCCAGCCAGCGCCTCACCCTGCTCGGGAGGGCGCTGGGGGTGTCTCCCCTGGAGGGTCTGATGCTCTGCCACGGCCCTCAGACCCTGATGATCCGTGACTGGTGGATGTGCACGATTGTGAGCGTCATGTTCGAGTTCCTCGAGTACAGCCTGGAGCACCAACTGCCCAACTTCAGCGAGTGCTGGTGGGATCACGTAGGTGCCTTGGGGGGTCACCGGGTGCAGAGGCCCTCAGGTGGGGCAGGACAGGGCGCTCACCTCCTCCCTGGTTCCTGCCCCCAGTGGATCATGGACGTGCTTGTCTGCAACGGGCTGGGCATATACTGCGGCATGAAGACCCTCGAGTGGCTGTCTCTGAAGACATACAAGTGGCAGGGCCTCTGGAACATTCCAACCTACAAGTGCGTCTCTCTCGAGCTGCCGCCCTGCTCCACGGGGGCCAGGGCGTCCCCGTGGGGCCTGGAGGTGCCGCTCGTGCGCCTTTCTGGGGGGTGCAGGCAATGGGCCAGGATTTTGCCCGCTTCCTGTGTGCGCGGGGGCGTGCGCACACGCGCGCACACACACCCCCGCCAGGGCCCTCGTGGTGGCCAGGAAGTGGGCCTGAGCACCACCCTGTCCAAGCAGCTCCTCTTCATCCTCTCCCGGCCCTTCTCGGAGGTCTCCGGGGCACCCCTCTGGGGCTGTCCTCCTCACATCGTACGGGCACTCGGTCACGTTTACTTCGAGATCTGAAGCAGTCCCGGAAAGGGCACTGGGGAGTGGGGTCTCGCTGCCCATGCATTGTGGGTGCCTGGGGCGGAGGGGGTGGCGGCAGCACAGGGAGGGAGCGGCCCCTGGGCCCAGAGCACCTGGCATGGCTGCCTGGTGGGGCAGGGGCACCCCAGGGTGACCGGCACGTGTGCTCCCAGGGGCAAGATGAAGAGGATCGCCTTCCAGTTCACGCCCTACAGCTGGGTCCGCTTCGAGTGGAAGCCCGCCTCCAGCCTGCGCCGCTGGCTGGCCGTGTGTGGCATCATCCTGGTGGTAAGGCTGGCCAGTCTCGTGTGCGTGCCTGCTGGGCGGCCCGGCTCGCCACCCACCCTCCCATGTCCCCCAGTTTCTGTTGGCAGAATTGAACACGTTCTACCTGAAGTTCGTGCTGTGGCTGCCCCCAGAGCACTACCTGGTCCTCCTGCGGCTGGTGTTCTTTGTGAATGTGGGCGGAGTGGCCATGCGGGAGATCTACGACTTCATGGATGACCCGTGAGGGCCCAGGGTGGGTGGGGCAGGCCTGGGCACACTTGGCATTGCCACCCCTGGGGCACAGCCGCGGCGCCCTCAGCCGAGTGCCCTCCCCCCACAGGAAGCTCCACAAGAAGCTGGGCCAGCAGGCCTGGCTGGTGGCAGCCATCACGGCCACGGAGCTGCTCATCGTCGTGAAGTACGACCCACATACGCTCACGCTGTCCCTGCCTTTCTACATCTCCCAGTGCTGGACGCTTGGCTCTGTGCTCGTGCTCACCTGGACCATCTGGCGCTTCTTCCTGCGGTGAGTGGTGTGGGCCTCAGCAGGCCATCGGCCGTCTCCTGGGCTGGGTCAACGGGTGTCTGGGTCTTGCGGTCCCTCCCTGTGACTGTGAGCGCATCCCTGCGAGGGGCAGCTTTGCGGGACCTCCGTGGGCCGCCTGGTGGTGACATGGCTTCTGCCGTCCCCAGGGACATCACCCTGAGGTACAAGGAGACTCGGCGGCAGAAGCAGCAGAGCAGGGGCGACCAGGACAGAGCCGTGGGCAACACGGACGGACACTTGCCTGAGCCAGAAGACCCCCCAGGGCCTGTGGAGGCAGAGAGGGAGGGGGCGCCGGCCCCAAACTGACGCACCCCATGATTGCCTGGAGCCAAGGCTCGCTGGAGCCTTCCAACAGGCCCCGGCCCTTGTGGTTTTATCACACTTTCTCCCGTGCGCACGGTGGGGCCCTGCGGGGTGGGGGCCGAAGGTGGCCCTCGTCCGGGTCATGCGTGGTGTGTGCACGTGTGAACACAGTATATATGGGTGTGGACACGTGTGCTCCACGTCCCTGAGGCCTCTCTGGGGCTGACAGGTGTGGCTGGGCTTGCCCTGGGCAGCCGGTCTCCTCCCCTTTCTGCACCTTCAGCCCAAGGGCCCCTGGGCTGCACCAGGCCCTCGGCACCAGACGGCCCTGCCCCGCACAGGCGTCACGGTGCCTTTCTCTGCTCCCTGGGCCCCTGGCCACTTTGAGGCCATGGGTGTCCGTGCCCTGGCAGCACATGTGAAGGACACCCCGTGACGGCTAAGAAGGGGCAGGTCTGAGCAGGCAGCCCTGAGCCATTTCCCACAAACGTAAGAGTGGGAAGGGGGCCAGAGGTCACCGGACTGGTCCCTCGAGGACCCTGTGCCTGAGGTGGGGAGGAAGGGTTGAGGGTCGTCTTCATGAGCAACCAGAACAAGTAAAGCAGCGATGAAGGTCTGCAGCAGTGTGTCCTCCTCACTGGCTCCCAGCCTCTGCTCCATCCTGCGCCCAACGCAGGGGCTGCCCAGAGGGGCGGGGGGAGGGGGTGGGTCAGGGCCAGTGCTGGCATCTGTCCCCCCGGGTGGCTGGCAGTGTGCAGACGGACAGCCCCGGGTGCTGCATCTGGCAGGGGGTGAGGGAGGCGGCTGTCCTGGACGTGGGTGCATGCACATAGCTGGAGAGCCCTCCTGAAAACACACCTGGGATGCCGGGCCTGGTGGGGACCCCACGAAAGGACAAGCACTCCTCTTGCCAAAACAAGTGCTTTAATAAAGTATCTAAAACTTTATTGCAGAAGTGAGTTATTAGAGCATTTCTCTTCGTTCAAAGCTAGGACACCCGCGGGAGAGCCCCGGGGAGGGGCCGGGTTTCAGGAGATGATCCTCAGGCTGGGCTTACGCCCCTCCAGAGCCTGCAGGCTGTTCTCCGTCTCTTCACTCCAGTATATGTCGTAGAGACTGTGCAGGCGGCCGGGGAGGGGGCGGGATGCGAGGTCAGGGCCGCCACCGCCCCCGCACGCAGCACTCTCACCAGCTGGTCCCCCCCCCCGCCCCGCCCGCACGCACGCACCATTCACACCAGCTGCTTACCCGCCCCCCCCCCCCCCCCGCCCGCAGCACTCACACCAGCTGCTCCAGCGTGCAGCCCGGCTGCTCCACGCTCGCCATCAGCTGCAGGATGCCCTGGTCGTCCATGCAGTTGTTGCTGAGGTCCAGCTCCCGCAGGCTGCGATTGGCCAGCAGGAGTGAGGCCAGGCTGGCGCAGCCACCGTTGGCCACATCGCAGTCCCCCAGGCTGGGCGGAGAGCAGGGCACAGGTCAGGACAAAAGGGTCCGCACCAGGCCCATGCCACAGAATGCGGGGTGACAGGGATGTCCGCGCAACACGAGGTCCACAGTGTGCAGAGCCCCAGGGTCATGGCTGTTCCCAGACCTCAAGCTCGGGAGCTCATGGGGTTCCCACTGTGGCCCCAGCAGACGTCAACACCAAACACAACAGGTGCGCACAGCTCCCCTCCACAGGCACAGTAGTTGGACTGGGCTAAGGCTGGCACACCTGGACTTAGGGCCACAACCTCCCTGGGCTGGGGGGGGCACCAGAGAGCCTCATCCAAGCCCTCGCTTCCTAACCACTGTGTGCTGGGAGCTGGCTGGGTGGGTGGGAGCTGCCAAGGAGGCAACCAGAGGCCAAAGGCGCAGGGACACAGGTATGGGGTGCACAGAGGGTGTGGGGTGCACAGAGGGTCGGGGCCTCCAGAGTGAGGACAACGGAGAAGGGCAGGCTCAGTGCCGCTGCCTGTGCCCTGATCCTCCACCTGCACCCACGCCCCATCCAGCATGGCCAGGCATCCCCAGAAACAGCAGTGAGAAGCAGAGACAAAAAGACGCAGAAAACAAAAACAAAACGTGACATTAGAAACGAACGGCTGAGGCGGCGGGCTGCAGGCCGTAAGAACAGAAACTCAGGAGGAAAGAGAATGGTGCGTCAGGCCGCCGGGCCCTGAGACCCAGCAGTGGGTTCCTGAGTGCTCCACAAGTAAAAACGAGATTAGAAAATCCCTCAAAGGCACACCACTTTAGTGCAACCAAGCGTCCAGCCCAGTAAAGGAACCAGGACCCACACGAGGCGAAGAACACGGGCCTGCCGGACCCAGCAGAGCAGCGTGCAGCAGAGACCAGCGGGCGAGTTCTGGGAAGTACTAGAGATGGCAGGAGGGGGGGGGGGTCCTGGGAGGTGCCCCCGCACGGACCCGTCAGACTGAGCGCCTGGCCAGCATGGTGCCGCCCCGCACACACGTGCCGTCCCTCGGGCACGCTCACCAGAGCACCTGCAGCGTGGTGCCAGGCTGACTCAGGCCCTGGCAGAGCTCCTGGAGGCCAGAGTCCCCCAGCTTGTTGTTACTCAGCCGAAGCTCCACGAGGTGCTTGTTTTGGGTCAGCATCGTGCTGAAGTGCTGGCAGCTCGCAGCCGTGAAGCTGCAGGACTTCACCCTGGGCGAGACAGACAGGACCGGGGCCTGACTGGGGCCCACACCTCTGGGTGCTCTCGGAGGCCCCTGTGGACCTGAGCATGAACCCCCCAACCCCTGCCCCCCAAAGACACCCAGCACCTCCCCCACCCCTTTGCAGAGGCACCTGCATCTCGAAGGCCCCGCACCCCCGACTTGCCCTGAGGCACCGAAGCTGCCCTGGCCCCGGGCCTTGGGGCCCCAGCAGCACCCGCGTCCACGGGCTGCCCTCGGGCCCCGGCTCGGCACAGGCCCAGCCTCCCGCTGGCCACCGCCTGGACCACACTCACCACAGGGACTGCAGCCGGCAGCCAGGCTCCCGCAGGCTGTCACAGAGCAGCCGGGCACCCTCATCCCCCAGCGCATTGCCCGCCAGGCTCATCTCCTTCAGGCTCTCCTTGGCCCCGAGGACGCGGCACAGGTCTCTGCAGCCCGCGGTGGTGATGTCACAGTCCCAGAGCCTGCAGGGCCGGGGACCCGTCACCACAGGGCCCCCCGAGGCGACACGGCCGACCTTCTCAGACACCCCCCAGCTGCCCGCTGAGGCCGGGGCCCTCTGCAGGAGCAGGGCGGGTGCTGACTCACCACAGGACCCTGATCTGGCAGCTGGGGTGCAGCAGGCTGGGGCACAGTGTGGCGATGCCCTGGTCGCCCAGCTTGTTGTCACCCAGGTCCAGCTCCTGCAACGAGGGCTTGGAGGCCACGACACCACACAGGTCCTCACAGCTGGCCGACGTGAGGCCGCAGTTCTCCAGCCTGGAGGCACAGGAGGGCCGGCTGGGCTGGGGAGCCCCTGCGCGCCCCCCACCCCGACCACGGACCCTCCCCAGGCAGGCCCAGCGCTTACTTGAGCGCCTCCAGCTGGCAGGCAGAGTCCACCAGGCCCCGACACAGCACCCGCACACCAGCCTCACCGACCTCGTTGTTGCTCAGCACGAGCTCCCTGAAGTGCCGCTTGGCCCTGAGCGCCGAGGCCAGGGCCTCACAGCTGGCGGCCGTCAGGTTGCAGTACTCTAGCCTGGGGGTGGGCAGGTGTCAGGACCTCCGTCCGGTCTCCTCTCCTGCCCCGGGCTGCAGGGCCTGTGAGACTGGAGGGCTGCTGGGCAGGGACAGCACAGCAGTAGCGAAGGGCCATCTCCTGGGAGCGTGGGTGCTCCAAGCCTCCTGGAAGCCAGCCACTGACCCCGAGCCCCACCCCACACCTGGGATGCACCAGACCTGGGAGAAAGAGGCCAGACTCCCCTCCTGCATCGCTGAGCCCATCGGCTCTTGATGAGGGGTTACAGGCCAGCTCTCAGCTCGGGGCCACAGCCCCAGCATCACACAGGACGAGGATCTGCAGGTCTGTGAGAGCCCCTTCCTGAAAGCTCCCCGCAGCTAACGTGCTGGGGCAGGGGCTCCCCCAAAACCAGAGGGATGGGGGTGCAGGGCTAGGGGTGGCCTGGGTGGCAGATCACACACTCACTGAAGCTTCTCAAGGTTGCACAGGGGGTCCAGGAGTCCTCTGCACAGCAGCTGCAGGCCCGCATCCTCCAGCGGGTTGTCACTGAGCTGCAACTCCCGCAGGGTGGGCAGGGAGCGCAGCACATCAGGTAGGACCCCACAGCCAGCCTTGGTTAGGCAGCAGTTCTGGAGGCTGGAGCACACCCACGCTGGCCATCAGCAGGGTCCCTGTCAGCTGTGGCCCCCATGCAAACTGCCCTCTGTCCTCAGGAGCCCCCACTACCCCTGAATCCCTGGGGAGCCCACCAAGCTCGGCCTTGTAAAAGAGGGCTTGCTCCTCCTCCTCCGGACAGGGCTCTGGGGTCTCCAGGCCAAGGACAGAGAGCAGGAGGGGCTACTCAGATGCACCACAAGGCCCAGAGGAAGCTGGGCCATGAGCCCAGGAATGACAGGCAGGGCTGGCAGGAGCACACCCCCCACAGGGGAACAGGGGCCTAGGACGAGGCAGGAAGGGACCCCACGCTCCAGGACCTTTGGCTGAAGCCCAGACACCTGCTGCTGCCTCCGGCCCACCCACAGCTGCCTGCAAGCCCCAGTTCCCCGCACTGTCCAAGTAGGTTCAGACCTGAGCCTAGGGCCGGGCAAGCACCTGGGACCACGTGGATCACCCAGGCTCACCTGAGCTTCTGGATCTTGCAGGTGGGGCTCTGCAGGCCCTGGAGCACCAGGTGCACACCGGCATCACCCAGCTCGTTGGTGCGAAGGCTCAGCTCGGTCAGGGAGGGGTTGGCTTGGAGGGCAGAGCTGATATCCTTGCACCGCACCTCCGTGAGGCCACAGTCATCCAGCCTGTGGAGGGGACACGTGGTCATTTCACACAGCAGGTCCTGGCCCATTAGTGGAACTCAACGTGGGGGGGGAGGTCACAACCAAGACATTTAAAAAATGAAACAGGGGGGCTCCTGGCTGGCTCAGTCAGAGGAGCATGCAACTCTTGATCTCAGGGTGGTGAGTTCAAGCCCCACACTGGACATAGAGATTACTTAAAAAAATAAATAAAAAAAGAAACAGAGAAGTGTATGGATCATCTCACGATGCTTTTGTTGCAGGCCCTGGCACATCTACAGATGCACGTCTGGGGCCCCGTGCTCTCTGCGCCTTCCTGTGGGGCACACAGTCAGCACATGAAAGCTCCTGTCTATCTCTAGAGAAAAACCAAACCAAGGAAGTGCTGGGAAAAGGACACAGCACCTCAGAGGGACACAACCGGAGGGGCTCACCAAGATGGGCATGCACAATGCTGATTGTAACCCAGGATCAAGGCTGCCACAATTAGGGAAACAACCAACAAATACAGGTGGGAGAAAAGCCACCTCTTGCTCACAAGAGAATGATAATAGATAAATGTGGAAGGAATGAAGAAATTAAAAATCCCAGTTAGGCAAAGGCCCAATAACAACTGTTCTGGCAAGATCCACCGATGAATGACAAAATCAGTAGGCAAAGGTTTGAGCAGTCTTAAGGCACCTCACCCAAAATATTTATCAATTACCAAGAGAAAACAGTGACTTTAGAGTGGAGAACAGGTGGTCATGGTGACCGTTAGGGGTGACCCCATGGTGCCATAGCAATCGACAGGATACAATATGCCAGGCAGACACCACAGCATTTGTGTATTCCCACGAAAAACCTGTGTCTCAGCCATGACATCTCCAGAGCCTGAGAGGACTCAAGAGTCAGATGACCAAGGACAAGGAGGGACAGAGGGACCATCACAGGGAAGGGGCCAAGGAGATGTGAAGTTAAATGCCTCAAGCGGGATCCTGCACAGAGCCAGG